TTGTCTGGAAGAGCAGCCAATGCTCTTAACCACTGAGCCATCTCTTTAGCCTCCATATTTTTATTTTTTAATTTTGAGAAGGGGCCTTGTGTTGCCTGGCTGACTTGGAATTCCTGGGCTCATGTGAACACACAGGACCAACATGGACCCTACTGCTTTGCCCATCCTTTTGTGACTGGTCTTGGTGCCTCAGTCACTCACCACATTTGTTTTTTGCAGATCATTGCTCCACCTGAGCGGAAGTACTCAGTCTGGATTGGAGGCTCCATCCTGGCCTCCCTCTCCACCTTCCAGCAGATGTGGATCAGCAAGCCAGAGTATGATGAGGCTGGGCCCTCCATTGTCCATAGAAAATGTTTCTAAAGTCAGAGAGGGTTCTCTGGGAATCCTTTGGGAATCCTCTCAAAACTGCTGTTACCAGCCATGAAACATTAAAACCTGCAAGTCTTACTTCTCTGTGCCAGGCTCTGTTGTTCTTAGGTTCTATGATTACCTGAACCAAAATGCCAAGGGCTTTTCAAACACATTATTATTTTTTAATTCTATATGTGTACATCTATGTGGGGGTATGTCTACATGCATACAGGTGCCTGTGCAGGCCAGGGGAGACCATCAGACCCCCTGAAGCCAGAATTTGGGAAGTAGTGAGCTGTCTGACATGGGTGCTGGGACCTCAACTCAGGTCCTTTGCAAGAGCAACAATCATAACCACTGAGCATCTGTGCAGCAACCCCTATTATTTCTCAATTTCACACTTCACCTCAGAGGTGGGTGCTATTATCTCCGTGTTACTGATAAGGAAATGGAGGCTCAGAGAAGTTATAGTCTTGGTGAAGATTAGGATGGAAAGTCAGGTCTATTAGACACCCAAAGGCAGTATTCCTTCCACGATCTTCTTTCCTTGAACACAGTAAGAACAAGAACAATTTATCTAGGCTGGAGAGATTGCTCAGTGGTTAGGGGCACTGACTGCTCTTGCAGAGGACCTGGGTTAGGTTCCCAGCTACCACATGGCGGTTAACAACCATCCTTAACTTCAGTTCCAGGTGATTCAATGCCCTCTTCTGACCACCACAGGCACTGCATGACATGGGTGTACTTACATACATGCAGGCAAAACATCCATACACATAAAATAAACTTAATTAAAATAAAAAACTCCCCTCCTTATATCTGGGAGGTAAGAAACTCACTTTCAGAAATGAGTCCTTGTACTCCAGGGTAATACATTAGAGGAACATGAACCCAAGCTTACAGGGCATGACATGAGTAGTTCAAACATGATGCTATTGAAATTTAGATGAAGAATGTCATGGTGGGCTTAGATCTCTAATAAGGTCCTTTGCCTAAAGATTACATTGTACTGTGCCCCAAAATTAATCAAGAAGAGAGTGATACCCTTAAGACTTATATTTTCTTCCCTCCCTGTATCCCTTAACCCCTTTCTTGTTTCCTCTCTTCCTCTCCCTGCCCTCCCATCTTTCCTCACCTTTCCCTACTCCCTTCTCCTTTCCACCCCCCACCCCATTTAATTTTATAATTATTTACTGAACTTTTGGCATGCAGAATTTTTGGTAAGAGCACATGGGACTTGTTTCCCACAGCAATTATTCCTGCCCATCAGGATCTTGATGCACAAAGAAAGAAAAGATACTATACATAAGATCATGATTCGGGGGAAATAGGTATGCCCATAATGTGTTAAGAGAAAACAAGGGATAATCATGATACGGTGTTGAGTGCTGACAGTATGCTAGGTGCTGAGTTAAGAATTTATGTGGATTTTTTCATTTAACCCTCACTTTGACCCTATGAAACAGGTACCAGTATCATCCCCTTTCATAGCCAGCTTACTAGTTACCAGGCCACCCTGCTGTTTAATGGCAGAACTAGGTCCTCTTTTCTACCCGTTGTTCCTTTATTTGCCCAGCCCAGTCCTGGCTCCATGTTCCTGATCACATCCACCTGGCCCCAGCTATCACAGACATACACACTTATATCCCCTTTCACATCCTCGAATTTGCACTCTGGCTGTGGGTGGGTTGGAGACTTCAATCTTAGGAAATAATTCTCAGAGGCAGACCCTGAAATCAGGATTTAGTAAGTGACTAAGGAAGTGCTCTCAGGATAACCAGTAAGCAACTTGGAAGAAGCAGAAGAAAGGGGAGAAGGAGAAGTCTTGAGGGCAAAGGCCCTTCAAAAGCAGCTTGGGCCTGATCCCTACACACTGCTCTGGAATCTAAGTTTAGTCAGACTGTGAGCAGAAAGCCAACACTTATAGTCCCAGCCCACTAGCAACTGACTGGTGAGGGTGCACCCTGGAGGCACATGCACTCTGACTTTCTGTGTGCTTCCCTAGGTTGAAGCATGACTCTCAAGAGACTGGCTGTTGGAAGAGAAAGCACAGGGAGGATACACAGGCATGCATGCACACACACATGTGTACATACACACACAAACACACATGCACACACATAAGATTCAAGGACAGGTGGAGACTGACACTGCTCACTCTAGAAGGGCACTCTGGAATCTGCATGTCAGGGACAACAGTAGACTGGTCTCACCTCTCCCTATCCTCCAAAACCCATCTGACTTCCCGTACCTTTCCTTTTGCTTGCCTTGAACTGGTGATAATCCTTCCTCAGCCTCCCAAGTATTGGGATTATAGGCATGAGTACTACACCCAGCTTTCCTTAGTACATTTTATACAAATTTGTAAAATTAACTCTTAGGCATTCTAACTTTTAAGAGTTCAGTTGCCTGCATGCATGTGTGTTTGCAGACAGCCTCCTCATTTAACTTCACAATGAGCCTGAAGCAACCAGACCCTGTGGACAAACAGGACCTCTCAAACTTTTTTGGATTAATATTTTCCTGGTCTGAATTTACACAAGCCAAAAAATTTAAGTGGTATTTTTACACAGAAATGGTTACTGGCTTAAGGAGGGGAATGAATGGAATTTAGCAGCTCTAGTTTCCATAAGCACCTCACCCATGTTATCCTAAACAAATTTTCCATGAATCTTTTTTTTTTGAGCCAGGGCCTCATGTATCCCAGGCTGGGCTCAAATTGAATGTGTAGCTGAGGATGATTTTGAACTTCTGATCTTGCAGCCTCCACCTCCCAAGTGCTAGGATTACAGGCTTATGCCATCACGCTGGGTTTTATGTTGCTGGGGATCCAACCTAGGGATTTGTGCAGGTTGGGGCAAGCACTCAACCAACTAACCTATCCACCTCCCACCCCCAGACTTCAATCTATTTTTCAAAAGTACAAACAAATGCCAGGCATGGTGGCACACTCCTTTAATCCCAGCACTTGGGAGGCAGAGGCAGGTGGATCTCTGTGAGTTCAAGGCCAGCCTGGTCTACATAGTGAGTTCCAGGACACTCTGGGGCTACAGGGAGACCCTGTCTCAAAAAGACCAAAAAAAAAAAAAGTACATACAAACTTGAATTTAGCCAACCCATATATTCTAGTTTGTTTTCCATTGCTGTGACAAAATACTCTGACCAATAACAACTTGAGGAGGAAAGGGTTTATTTGGCTTACATCTCCCAGGTCACATTTGGAGAGCCCAAGATAGGAGCTGAGGGCAGAAACTTGGAGGTAGGAGCTGGAGCACAGGCCATGTAGGAATGCTGCTTGCTTACTGGCTCACTCCTCTGGCCCACGCTCAGCCTGCTTTCTTATACAATACAGGACCATTGGCTTATAGGATAAGTCTGCCCAGGGTTGTACCACCCACAGTAGGCTGAGCCTTCTCATATCACTCAAAAAGCAAAAATATATCCCACAGACAGGGACACAGGCCAGTCCAATGGAAGCAATTCCCCATCTGAGGCTCCCAGGTGTGTCAACAACTAAAGCTATCTAGCACACGATATAAACCTCTGTGTGCTTAAAGGTCAGTGCTTTTTATGCAAACAGCTTCAAGACTGGTATCCAAAAAACCGGTTTCCCTCCTCCCCCTTGCAATCAGATCCTAGTCTCCTAAAACCACCCTCATGTAAGTTCCCCCTGACCACAGCTGCACCCTGCCTCTCCAGGTTTGACTGTCTTAACCAATAGGAACTGGAAGCTCCCTTTTACATGTTCTAAATCATGACTTCTGAGGTTGTTACCAAGATGGGTGTAGCAGGACCAGCCAGTCAGGCCACCCTGGTAGCGCAACTCAGACCTCTCCCTCCTCTTCCACAGACAAAAGTTCTCTAGCAAAGTCTCTCCGGTGCCTCCCCTCTTCCCTTCACACTTGGAATCCTTTGCACCCCTCTCCTCCACTCCAAGGTTCACTCACGCAGAGCCAATCAGGTTTAACTGAGTTCCAGGACCATCCCTGATCCAACATAAGATTCTTCAGTTATTATGCAAGTCGACTGACTGAACGTTTACTCACTCAAACGTTAAAATAGGAGATTGAGTGCAATTACTAAACTGATTTGTTCATTTATAACGTAACGGTCCAAGCAACAAGAAAATCAATTTGTTTCAGTCATCAGACTGTGTCGTTTTTCTACATTCAATTTCTTCCTGTATTAGAATAAAAATCAACGAACTCCTCCGGGGAGAGCCTGTTTTAAAACTGTCACTTATTTTAGAGTCAGTAAAGGTAGTAGCCTCCAAATATGAAGACGGGGTTTTATCCCCACAAGGAGGGAACCAACTCGGCCCAAGTTGTCCTCTTACTTGCACACACTCGCGCGCGCACGTTGAACAAATAAACGAATAAATAAATAAACAAATAAATAAAGTGTGATTGAAAAACAAAACAGAAACCTCGAGACTGTGACCACCGCCAAATTCCAGAGATTAACAAGCCTTTCCGCCCGGCCTCAACGTCTCGGCAACACTCGCAACCCTCGCGAGAAAGGCGCAATCCCGCCGAGGCCCCGCCTCTGGGCAAGCCTGCCGCTTCCGGCCGGAGGAGAGACGCTCGCCTGGAGCGGCGGTAGCGAGGGCGGAAGTGCCTTCGACGGAAGTGTTCACGTAGCGTGGGCGGGATGGCCGCAGGTCGGTTCTCTCTGGGGTGGCTCCGAGGCCCCCTCAGTTCCATGGCTGTGAACGCACTCGAGGGCGCGCCTCGCGTCCGCGACCAGCATGAGAGGCGCGGCCCCCGAAGACTCTCCGTCGAAGGCAACATCGGTAAGGGCCGCAGAGTGGCTGCCGAGCCTTGGCCTCCGCCCAGCAGGTGACGAGGAGGCTGAGCCCAGATCCCGTAGCTGGCCCACCTCACACTCCTGCGGCCACCCACGGCCCGCTGGCTCAGACTTAGCAGGGCTTTCCTCCCACAGTGAACTTTGGGTCTTGTCTCTTTGATTTTGAGATCATTGGGACGCAGATCCTGCCCGCCCACCCACGGGGGCGTAATAGTTACGCAGGCTGTAGATAGCACCAGAATTACGCTAGTTTACTGACTTGTTCGATCATCTAGAAATAGAAGCGACAGTGTGCCGTTTGTTTGCCGAAGTTAGGGTTCCTAGATTTAGCAAAAATAAAAATAAAGGCCCAGTTTACGTAGACTTTAAGATAATTTTAGTATGTGTCGCATGCAGAATTGGGGACATATACTTAAGTGATCCATTGTTTACTTAAAACTTACACTTTAAACAGGACGCCCTATATTCCTGTGGTCACCCTACTTTGAGTTCCTAAAGTTTAGTAATTCATATACCATTTTTGCCTTGTCCTCAATAACTTGCCCTATCAATTCGTAAGGATTTTCTTAGCTCTCACTTTTTAAACTTAGAAATATGCTATTACATTTCTTGTTACAAGTGACCTAGTATCTTAAAAACGAAAAAGCAACATGGAAGCAAACATTCAACTTACTGTTGCTGAATTCTGACTTGATAACTTAGTTCTGCAAAGGCACTGACTAGTAAGGATCAGTTAAGTGTTAAGTACTGAAACATTCCAGCAGGAAATAGAATTTCTGAGTTTTATCCATTCAACAAATAATCCTTTGACCCACTTCCATATGCCAGCAGTGTTGTTGTAAACAGGGCCAATAAAATCAGCTCCCATGGACCTCTTAATAAAGATAACACAGTACAACTACAGAAATTAAACAAGGTGAATAGTATATTAGATAGTGATCAGTATGATGGAGAGACATCAAGGATGAGGGGTTGAGAATAATACAATTATTTTAAATAGGGTAGTCAGATGAGGTGGCATTTGATCAATATCTTGAAGAATGTGAGGGAATGAATCATGTGGGGTAACTGGAGAAGAACTTTCCAATCAGAAAAGCCCTAAGTTGGAATGATGTGTTCAGGGACTAGGAGAGAACCCATTTCACGTGAAGTAATGTGACTACAGAAAGGAAGGGGTGAAATAAGATTAGAGGATGAAGGACACCCAGATTGTATAAACCAGCTGAGACAGGAAGCGGTGGAATGGTTTGAAGAGTCAAGGACAAAAGCATCACCTGTCTGATAGATTGCGAGTAGAAGATGCTTACTGAGCAGAAATGAGTTATGAAGTTGGGTCAGAGTGAAAGTTACATTTTTAAGGTAGGGCCAGATGAACTTGGTGAGAGAGAGAACAAGTAGTGTGAGATAAAGGGATCAGTGTTGACCTCACTCATTTTGACCTAAATAGCTTGAAAGATGTTTGAATTTTTTAATTATCCAGTTGTTTACTATTTTGTGCTGGGATCTTATGTGCATGAGGCAGGTATTCTACCTACCACGGAGGTGCATTTCTAGCCCTTGGTTTTTTTGAGATAATCTTGCTTATGTAGTTCTGGCTAGTCTTGAGCACCTTATATAACCCTAACTGGCCTTGTGCATACATCCATCTGCCTCTACCCTCTGAGTGCTGGTCATATAGGCATTCACTACCACACCCAGCTCAGATTTTCTTAAATGGAGAATTCTGGGAAGAACAAGTTGTATTAGTGGTTTTAGTGTTTGGTTTTAAGCTGGAGTGATGGCCCAGTGGTTAAGAGCACTGGCTGCTCTTCCATAGGACTCAGGTTTAGTTTACAGCACTCAGCTGTAACTCCAGTTCCAGAGGAGCCGATGCCCTCTTCTTCTGCATGGGTGCACTTACATGGCAGGCAAAACAGACATAAAATAAAAATAAATAAATTAGAAAAAATTTTTGAAGAGTTTGGTTTTAAGCACATTGGATTTTTATATGGCTATTATATATCCAAGTAGAAGTATTAAATAAACTACTGTTGGGTATATGAGTCTAGGATGCAGAGACTCCCTGGGCCAGCGGTGTACATGTAGATGATATTTAAAGCTGGGATATTGTATTGAAGGAGAAGACTAAGTCCTGTGACTTGACGATGGTAAGAGATTGGGAAAATGAGGAAGAACAAGCAGAAGAGACTGAGATTGAGGTAGAAGAAAAAACAAGAGAATGACATCCCAGAAGCCAAATGCAGGTGTTCAGAGGGAGGGGATGGGGAATTGTGTAACACTGTTGGAGTGAAGGTTTGAGTTCTAGGAGTAGGAGAAGTGAAAGCTTAGTTGTCATAGATTCAGGAGAATAGGAGATGAAGAATTGCAGAGAGTGGGTTAACACAACTGTTTGGAAATTTTCCTAAAAAGAGGAGTCATGGGGTGGTAGCTGAAATTGGAAGAGGATCTGAGCATTTTAAAGTTCTCTTTCTCTTTTTGTGAGAAATTAGCATGTTTGTAAGTTAATAAAAATGGTCTAATCAGGGGCTGGAGAGATGGCTCAGTGGTTAAGAGCACTGGCTGCTCTTGCAGAGGACCTGGATTCGGTTCCCAGCACCAACATGGGAGCTAACAACTGTCTATAACTCCAGTTCCAAGGGATCTAAGGCCCTCTTCTGACCTCTTCTAGCATTGCATGACATTGATGCACTTACATACAAGCATGCAAAACACTCATAAAATAAAAATAAATTTTAAAATAGTTTGATCAAAAGGGAGAACTTGGTGACACAGGAGAAAAGTAAGTGGAGTGCATCTTTTTAATTTTTAAGAAATTACATTATTCATTTGTGTTGTGTGTGTATAGAACTCAGAGCACTAGCATTCATCTCTCTGCTTCCTGACTGTGAATACAGAGTGACCACCCTCCTGCTGCCATGACTTCCCCACCATGATGGAACCAAACTGTGAGCCAAAATAAACCCTTCCTCCTTAAGTTGCTTTTGTCAGGTAGTTTGTCACAGTAACAAGAAAAATAAGACAGTGGCAGAACAAGAGGTTGGCAGAGTAGGATTTGCCAGATGCTGGAGCATTGTGGATGATACTCACAGTTGATTCTGTTGATAGTAGCAGGCTAAGAGGCTGATGGAGAGTTGAAGTCAGTATGTGCCATAACCAGATTAATTTCCAGAAGGAAATGGGTAAGTGAATTAAAAAAAAATGCTTCATAAAGCAGATACTGGTCTTTCTATGTTGTATTTATTACAGTACCCATAGTACTTTGTTTCCAGCTTGTCAGATGAATGAATAAATAAATTGGATTGGTCTGGAGCAGACAGACTAGATTCAAGACTGGTGTATTTGAAGGAGGAAAGATACCAGCATGAATGAAGGGAGAAAGAAGTGACAGTTCAGAAGACAATTTGGAATTGAGATTACCAGGATTTGGTAACTGCCTTGAGGTGGGAGTAGAGGATGATGGTCAGATTGGATTCTGACTCAAGAAGCAGAGGATGAAGTAAAGGAAGAGGTGATCTGGGGAAATAAGAGTGACACATTTTTTCTGAGGTATCTGTGAGGCACATAGGGATAGAGACCCTGAGGCTGACTGGAACATGTAAACAAAGTGCAGAGAGACTGGAGGTGGGGACTGTGGTTTCAGTCTTGGAAACTGGGGCCTGGTGGGGGTAGTTGAAGCCTTGGAGGTGATGTCAGCAAGGTAAGGGTGATGCAGAGTAGCCTGGGAGTCATCATCTGACTCTATATTAATCACCCATTACTCCCCGTCACATATCCAGATGACATGTCCCAGGCAGAATTACTCATCTTCTGTGGGCTGTACAACTTTGTACCCATAACTATTTGTACTTGAGTTCTGTTGAGATTGTTTGCATGCTCAACACTTTGCCTGAATTGGAGCCACCAGTGTCCTGCTCATCATTGTGTTGTCCATAAGCAGTGATTAGCAGAGTCTTGATCTAGAATATCCATGTGGAAGTTGGTTATCTGTACATAGAAGGATACATACATTGCCTTTTTTTTTTTTCTTTTAGATTCAATACCTTTTTTTTGAGACAGGGTATCTTACTAGTTCTGTCTGGGCTAGAACTTATTATGTAGACCAGGCTGGCCTTGAATTCATAGAAATTTATCTGCCTCTGTCTCCCAAGGTCTAGGATTAAAGGTATTTAAAAGTGTGTGCCACCATGCCCAGACCTGCAAGACCTTAAAAAAATTATTACATTCATTTATTCATTTTGTGTGTGTGCACACATGCCAAAGTGCATGTGTGGTCAGAGGACAGCTTGCAGGAGTTGGTTCTCCTCTTAAACCATGTGGTCCTGGGGACTGAACTCAGAACATCAAGCTTGATGGGAAGAGCCTTTTACCCTCTGAGCCGTCTTGCTCGCCTGGTTTTGGGTTTGGTGTTTTTTTTGTGTGTGTTTTTTTGGTTTTGGTTTTTTTTTTGAGTCAGAGTCTCTCTGTTACCCAGGGTGATCTTGAACTCCTGAGCTCAAATGATCATCCTGCCTGAAGAGTTTTTCTGACTAGGGCGATAGAGTGCTTGCTTAGTATTTACAAGGCCCTGGGTTCAGTTCCTAGCACTAAGAAGAAAAGGTTCTATTTTTCCTAATCATAGGAGGCATCCCAGAATGACTACCTATTTGGGAAACCTGAACAAGGGAAGGTGAACTCTGGTCCTAAATGAAGCTAGATGTGTTTAAGACGCCTTGTCTGATCCCAGAATTACAGATAGCAGTACATAAGGAAAATATATAGCAACTAAGGCTTCTGGTATGATTATGAAGTCCTGTGCATTGTGTGAATGCAAATCAAAAGCTTGGTACCTAGAACTGAAAATCAGCCGTGCATGGTGGTGCACGCCTTTTTTCCCAGCACTTGGGAGGTAGAGGCAGGTTGAACTCTGTGAGTTCTAGGCCATCCTGGTCTACATAGCAAGTTTCAGGCCATTCAGGGCTATGTAGTGAGATCCTATCTTTAAAAACA